GTTCACATAATATTTTGATCACTTTGAAATAAATGAAAAATCAGTTTATGCAGGACCAAACAGAGAGAGCAGGTCTGATATTCTGGCTCTTACCCATCTCCAGGGACTTCTCTCAGCTTGAGCCCCAGTGCTTGCAGCTGATTGGAGAAACTGACAAACTCTGCACCTTCATCGCCATCCTGAGGGCGGTTCTTGCGGTCTTTTGCGATGGCCCGGCGGACTGCCCTTTCATCCCTCTTGCGCTCCAATTCACTCTTTTTATTGCTCCGCAAAGATTTGTGCGTCTGTTTCCTCGACATGTTGACTGCACTCGTGTCTGCAGGCCTACAACACCACAGTGCGTCTCCCTGTGGCAGTGAGCAGGCGCTTCATGAAAGACCACCACACGTCTGTAACTTTCTTTTTTTAATGACAGAGAAATAGTAGATTTTTTTTAATATTTCAACCAGACGGCATATTAGATCATTCTAGATTATATATATATATACATATAGTTTCTTGAAGGACATTCAAAGCTCTTCTTTGGCGTTTGTGATCCCACACTGCTTCAATAATGTTCAGGTCTGGGCTCTGGGGAGGCCAGTCCATGACTAATTGTGTTCCCTATTGACGTATGCTTTTACAGTGCGGGAGTTTGTTTGGGACCAAAATCTATCGGTTCTGTTATGTGACTGACAAACTTTCAGACAGTCTGACTGTATGAAAGTAAAATAGAAAGAAATGAGGGGTGGCTCAAGACATTTTCACAGTAGTGTATCTTTACTTCAAAAAAGCAGCATAAACTTTTTTTTTCATTTCTTTAATATATATAAATCTGTCAGTATTATCTCAGATAATTTATGACGTTTTGTGACTTTAATTTGCCAAATAATATTTTGTTTTTTCTTGAAAATTAACAATTTCAATTTCGAAACTTTCTGGATTTTTCATTGAAGGATATCCCCTAACCCGGCTTTGTATTTTTTTTTAATTTTATGTAATTGTTTATTTTTCTTGGCCTGTAAACATAAGCCGTGATACACTTTAGAGAAAACGCACCACGTCTAAAACGTGGTACGTTTTAGATATAAACGTCCAATAGTTTTTTTTTTTTACTTCCTTTGTTTGTACTGAAGCTAAATAATTTTACTTTTCTTTCTTAAATGTAGCCAATTAGTCAGCAGTATGGAAGATAACTAATAAACACTTAGAAACTTAAGTGGGTACGAAGTTACTCGCTATCTACTTAGCTCAAACGAAGCGTTTTCGGCTACAGCTTAGCTGTTAGCTAGCATTAGCGGCTAGGTGCAGAGTACTCAACAGCTGGAGAGATTACATAACAAATCATCTCTGGTCTTTATCACTACATCATGACTCACCGAGTAACTTAACATAGTGGTCGTGCTGACACTTACCTTTAAAAAACTCTGATTGACGAGATAAACCAGTTTTTGTTTTTATTATGTTCTAGCTCAGAAAAGGAAAGTTGTGATTGTCCGTTTTTGTTTACAACTGAGGTTCCGCGTACGTATATCCGTGTACGTCAAAACGTACGGAAGGAGAAATGGGCCAAACCGTAAATGCGATTAAAAAGGCTTGCAGTAGCAGCAAATTTGCTTCATTTAAACAAAGTAAACAAACAACAAGGGGGAAAAAAGACTCCAGTATCTATCTCTCTTTCTTTCTATCTATCTCGTGGTCTTTAAATTCACCACCTTCCGCCTTCTTAACGTCTTCTAAGGCTACTCACAACCTACTCATTTTAATGACTCCATGCAGTTAATGAATATAAGGCGGAGGAGTGGGCTGAATAGTAATAAACAGGATGTTTGTAACGTTAAGAAAAACAACATCAACAAAAACAGACACAGATAAAGAAAATAGCTTCCAGAGATAAAACTTTTTTTATTTCCAAAAAACGAGACAAGAAAAAACATAAAGGAGCCATACGTCTGCTGTGATATGTGGCTCTGTGTGTGTGGGGGTTATCATGGGTAAGTGCTGGCATTGTGTGAACAGATGTAATGGCCTACAGGCTATCCGCGTGCTTGTGCGTGTGCAGCAATCAGCGCCCGTTACCTGAGTGAAACATAGGAGCCATCAGCCATGTTTGACTCAAAGGACAACAACTCTGTACTGTATGTGCACGAGCAGTGTGTGTGTGTGTGTGTCAGCAAGGCACATCGTGTTTTTTGATAAGAGTTTCTATTTTTGAGTTGATATCAGAACATCATGTGAAAGAAAGGCCATTTTCAGCTGACTTCACAATTTTACATTTATGACTAAGATAAGATAAGATAATCTTTATTAGTCCCACGCGTGGGAAATTTGTTGGGTTAAGGCTGCTGACCTTTGCCAGCGCCATCTTACCCTGCGACCATACATACATTACTACATCACATGGGGAAGTCAGGTCAGAGAGGTATAACAATGGAAAATGCACAACATGAGGAAAGACGAGGAGAAAAAATAACTCCCCCCAGACTGAGCTCCAACAGGGAGATCAGTTTGAGAACAGAAAGAAAAACACCTCAGCACATAGCACATGAATCAGCATATCTCACAACATAGAAGACATAAGCTTCGAAGGCGTTTGGAGGGGGTGGGGGGGGTGAGTGTAGGTCTGTGTCAGTGTAAATGCGTATGTGTGCGTGTATGTGTTCCGTGTTCAACCGAGAGAAAGTGTCCCTTCACCCGGTTAAGCAAAAGTCAACAGTCTTCGGTTGACGCGGGTGGCCTTGAATGAGGAGGGAGAGAGTCACAACACAGTCTTGTTATCTAAGGGAGAATTTTGTTATTCCCGTCAGCTTTTGCCTTGAGCATCCAGCTGGCGCCAGGGGGGCCGCATGAGATGAAGATGGTAGCCGTTTTGGCTAGTGCGAACAAACTGAATCCAATTTTACATTTGGTCTAATGTCCATCACTGGTCACCAGGTCTCTCAATTTCTGTTGTTGTTCTTCAAGATCTTATCCATATAGCAGAGCCATGAGCTTCTCCAAGATCTTGTCCATATTGCGTTCAAAAACACAGTCTGGGTACTCACAGCCCTGCCCATCGTCTATCATGTTAGCCAGACTTGTGGGATTTTGAACAGCTGTAGCCCCTTCTTGTTCTTTAAGCCAGGTCCGAGCCAGCTCCAATCAGCCAGAACTCTGTTATTGTGGTTCCGAATTGGTTGATGTCATTCAATGTCCTCCATCGAGAGTGTCGCCAGACACACGACGCAACCGACCATCGAGTATCCAGCAGCAAACGTCTCAACAGGACAATCAGGCTCTCCCAAGCCTAGGAGTTGTCAGTTTCGTTAAGGGACCAGTTGATCAAATCCATAATTCTTCGTCTGGGAGACTCAGGAAACATAAGGGAGAGGGAGAAGGAGAAAGTGCGACCGCCACCGCCAAGAGCCAAGAGAAGAAGTCTATGGTCTTCTTTTAGAGAGCATACCATCTCTGTCAGCTTCACTGCCTTGCTCAAAGGCTTTTTGACATGACATAAGGTTGTTTGTATGGATAACATCTGCAAACCATGGCTATGACCCACAAGCCACCACTTCTTCTTCTTCTTCTTTGTAGTTTGTTGAATTTAAACTTGATCACCACAGCATCCACTGCTACAAAGAGGGAGCTTTATTATATTATCATTATAGTTGTGTCTTTTTATTTTAATCCAGTTGAAGGTTGATTTACTTGTCTGACAATGGATGGATGGCCACTTAAATATTTTTCAGTTGTAGTAAATTTGCATTCAGCTTCATGTTTGCAGCTGCACTCATAATCGTGACCATTCAGGCTTCAAGTCCTTTTTTTACAGTTAAATGTTTACATTACCCCCATTCCACCCCCTGTAGATTTTAATTAGAGCCTACTACACTGGTGCCCAGCTTGGCTTCACGAGGGGCGAGGTTGAAATGAAGTAACACTAGCAGGAGTGTGCCTGTGGGTGACAACAGCAGATGTTTTTAAAATCTGCTCCACCAGAGACAAAGGGTATGAGTACAGTGGTTAGTGATTATTTTCTTACAGTATTTGTATTTTAGATTTTATTTGGGCATGCATAGAAAATTGGAATACTGTACAACCGTTCAGTCTGTTTCACTACTTTACTTGGGATGATTGCTGTCCATGGTGCTGAAACAGCCACCCTTCCCTGGAGTGATTACTTGGTTTTTATGACACATTTTTCTGTCAGTTTGTTGTTTCTCTGGTACCTAGGTTGGCAATACAGATGATTCGGGGAAGTACTTAAGGGATACAGGAAATCTGGATACACATATTTGAGCTGCAGGCTGGGATATGACAATTATATATTTTCTTTGATTTGATGGTTTGCATACTTGCAAGTTCCACCTCTCATTTCTGTATTCTATATAGCAACTTTAAACTTTTACCATGGAGACAATAAGAGCAGATGCTTTCAAATAATACATCAAACAGGATGTTAACTCAGTGAGCTCAGTGAGCCATGGTACAGATGTCATGCCACACCAGAACTAGTCTTTGAAACCACTGGCCTTTATTATTTCCACCAGTAGAATATTATCACTATTTTGCAGAAGTTTTGACATTTTCTGAATTTCCACACTTTCCACTGTAGCCTAAAGAAGTAATCCAAATGACACCCCAAAACAAGTTTTAACCTTAGGCTCATTTTGGAAATGTAACAAGCGGCATGTTGTGAGCAGAAATGGTGCAGAGTCAGAAACAGAGGAGCAGCAGTGTCTGGGGGAGAAGTAGAACACAAGGCAGGCGTGTGTGTGTGTTGGGGTTGGGGGGGGTACTGTGGGGATAAAGCAGGTTAAATCATGATGACGAGTGCCATCGGTGCCTCTGCCGGTGTCCTGTAAATAACGAGCCTACAGGCCTTTGCCTTAAAGCGGGCTTGCAGTTCTTTCTTCTCACACCGCCCACTATACACACATTCTCTCGCGCGCATAGAAGCGCGAACGCGAACGCGTGCGTGCGCGCATGCACTAGAGGTGGGAGTGGATGCTCGTGTAGCTGCTGGAAGCCAGGATGGGATAATCCTGGCTCCGGGCGTTGATGCAGCTGCCGTTGCTGGATACGGAGTGGACTCGGGGCGCAGGGTGGGTCTAGTTCCCGACTGGAGCTGTGTGGACCCCGTGTCGATGTTGTCAAGCGTTCCGAGAAAGACGAGGGCGATGGCCGTGAGAGGAGTTGGTGCAGCTCTTTGAAACGTCCAGGCAAAAGAAATCGACCGTCTTCTCCCATGGAGGACACCGGCATTAATCTGAAGCGCAGAACCGGTGTGGAATAACTTAGGAAAGGAGGGAGAGAGGATACCGGGGCACTCCGTAGAGGATATCAGGGGAATCCTTCATTCATTTTCTTTATGGTTTCTTTAAACTGGGATACAGCTAGAGACGCGAGTGAAGGAACGGATCACTTTTGCATCGGTGATTAGGAGAAGACTGCCTCCTTGGATCGAGCGGCAGCCGCATCCGACCTACCGTGGGGGGGTGGGGGGAGATCAGGATACTTGGATGGAGAGGGCGCAGTGAAGGCTAGCGGCTTGCCGTGTGTAGGAGGGGACGGAGGGGGACCGGGTAGTTTGAAGGGACGGGGAGCCAGGAGCGGCGGCGGCGGCTCCATGAGCGGCTCCTGCCGGGACAGAGCGCCCAGAGCCCAGCCGGAGCGTCTCCACCGCCGCGGGTAGAACCCCGGGCAACAGGACGGCGGCCAGTTTGGAAGTTTTGATGCATATGATCACAACCACCATGATTTTTATGATTCTTGGTGCTTCAGTTGTAATGGTAAGACACCTTCACCTCCCTCGGCCACGATCTTATTTCCTCACTGGGCTGAGAGCCTCCCGATTTGACAGAAATGCCTCAAAAATGTAGGCCTATCACATTTTCAAGAAACTACAGCAGGCCTATCACTGACACGAGGAAGTAGGTTAGCCTACCTATAATTACCTGCCGTCATAAATAAATAATCTAAGTCCGTTTGAGGCAAGAGTCCCCCCTCTTAGAATCGGGAGGATCTGCCAAGACTATTTTCACTCATGTCTCTGTGGTCTTTATAGCCTGCTGTTATTTATCCTAATAGCACCTAATGAAAAGAATTATTCGCTGTCTGTGGTAATAGCCTAGCCTATTGCTTGACATGTCCCAGCTGACTGGAATGGTTCTTTGCAGGCGATAGCCTGTTTAATGGACATGAACGCACTACTGGATCGCTTTCACAACTACATCTTACCGCATCTACGAGGGGAGGACCGCGTCTGTCATTGCAACTGTGGAAGGTAAATGCCATCATCCAGCACGATATTCGGGTTAAACATGGTGTGCTTCATGGTGTGTGTGCGCGCGTGTGTGTTCTCTTCTTTAGTCGTCCATTCTTAATTGCTGAAGAGGCCTCGAAGATTTCCGGCGGTGAAGCCAAACCTGTCGGCGCTCTCACAGGCTACATAGCGACTGTCAGACCCTTTATTATTCGCTCGATCTCACGTTTGATCGCCGTGTGCTGCTTTTTTCTTTTTCTTTTTTTATACCACC